GATGCAGGATTTTAAACCTTCAAAAAAATGCATTTGCACATTTTTAAGGCCTCCAACTTTACCTTCACGTGCCGTCTCAACAACTCTCCCTTCCTCTAGTCAAACTGGAGGCCACATCAGCACACTTCAGGGGGAATTCTGCAGATTGCCTCAGAGCAGGGACCCGCTTTCCAAAAAAGTCAGCAGAAAATTAGTAAAGTGGTTTCATATTGAGACAAATACATACACAAGTGTATTCCTCACCTTATACCCCCCTTCTTTTCCTTCAGCAGTCTCACTAAACTTTGTATGCCTCCCAAAATTAGGCCTTTTAAAACACTGTACATGACACAACCTCCGCTTTTCTCTCAATCCTTCGCAATTGCAGTCTTTTGGAGGGAAAACAATGTCCTGCCAGTGAGCGTTCAAAGAAAACCCTCAATAATGTAGCTGCATGTGCTGCTCGGTTTGTGTTGTTTGCCTTACTGGGTCACTGACAAACTGACCCGAGCAGATTTTTTTTATTTTTTATTGCCCAAATTTGGACCAGTGCTTACTTTGTGCATTGGTAAAAGCTGAGTTCAACAATGTAAAGGGGACCACCCATGCAAAACTGAATGTTATGCTGAAGCTTGCTTTTGTGGTGGTTCTTGTGCAAACAGACCATGTTATTGCTGACAAAGGAAAGCGGTGTCAAACCAGCAGAGGGCGACTGATGCCCTAGAAAGACTGCCAGGACATTTCTGGGCCAACAAGAACTCCCTCCCATTTTCTCAGAGTGTCAAAAATAACATATCCCATTACTTTCATGGCTATAAGGGAAATTTAAGAAGGATGGTATGAACACCTCCTGCCAACATGAGCTAAGGACTAAATGTAACGGTAGAATCTGCTGGAAGATTTTGTTCTTATTAAAATCCTGAGTGACTGTGAGGTGTAATATCGTCCAAAGATGCAATTAAACTGTAAAACCCCATTTAGTTTTAATAACGATTTCATGGTTTTGAGGTGACTCGCAGCTACTGCAAAGCTCAAAACACCCATGTAGTGTAAGCTTCTTGTAAAAGGTCATTGAGTGCCACAATAAAAAAGCACAAACTTTATTGTAAAAAAAAAAAAAAAGGGACATTTTTAAATTATATTTTTAAAAAGAACACGCAGAATGCACCATTAGACCAGTGACTCCTGCACCACTTCTTGTTCTATGGTAAGGACAGTCACCAACCAGTCCAAGGCAGCCATCAGGGCCTTGGTGGTCTGGAGAGTCTCTGAGGTGGCACACCCGCAGGCCTGCAGAGAGTAAACAGGACACTGGGGGATGGAGGGATGGAGGAAAAAGGGATTGAGGGATGAGAATGTGGAGTCAGCAGCGTCTCCCCTCTGCCTGGGGAAGAGGAAAGTCGGTAAAGCCTCCAGATTCAAAGCTCACGCAAACAATAGGCGGCCCAGAGACGAAGCTTAGAGGATAACACTTTGGCCAGACAGAGAAGTTACTCAAATATCTTCTGAATTAATATTACTAAGACCACAAACTTTAGATGTTCCACTAAAATCAATATGATTTGATGTTCAAGAAAAGAAAGCCTCTCTTTCCTCCTAATTTTGTGAGAAACACAGAATTGTTTTATTTAGCACCAGACTTTGTTTTTGGACACAGATGTTTAAAAATACGTTTTCTAAAGCTAAACATAATTAGAAATTCCTACAAATTCATCCTAGATCTTTTGTTTTATATTACATCTCAAGACGAGCAGCTGTAATGATGACATCCCTTCTAACGTTAGGATTCATCAATTATCCGAGGTCACAAAAAGTATATTTCATTGAAAGATAAATTTAAAACTAATAAAACAACTGTTCAAACACCTGCTTAAAAAAACTAGACAGCAATGTTAAAAAATGTGTGGACCATTGTTGTCAATGCGTCATTTGTTAGTTTGGAAAATAAAAATCAGATTGCTGAAAAAAAAAAGAGGCAATTAAACTAAAATGATAATGTTCTGATTTTACATATGTCAGTGATAATCTAAGAACATAATAAACACTAGTTTTTCCAGATGTTTTCTGCATAGATTTTAAAAATGTATTCTTCTCGCTTTAATCTTTTGGTCATATGTTTGAAGTCTTCAGTTAATCCAAAATGCTGCTGCCAGAGTCTTGAGATTGATATTGTATTATTCTCTGTTCTTTTGTTTTGTGGGATATATTTTGTTCTTACCTGCCTTAGGACAACGGATGAAAATTATCTATTGTGTTCCAGCATATTTACATTAATGCTTACGGCTGACATGTTGATTAATTTATTGTCCCAATATAAATAAATAAATAAAATGAAATGAAAATCATATTTCTCCAGTTTTAGCTTCTCTCTATCGGCTCCCTGTCAAATCCAGAATTGAATTCAAAATTTTACTTCTAACCTACAAAGCTCCCAACAACCTAGCTCCACCTTATATTCGAGATCTTATTGTTCCATTTGCTCTCAGACTGCAGGTTTAATTGCAGTTCTTAGAGTTTCCAAAAGCAGAAAGGGAGGAAGATCTTTCAGTTATCAGACTCCTCTCTTGTGGAACCAACTTCCAGTTTCTGTCCATAAGACTGACACATTGTCCAGTTTTAAGACTGGAATTAAGACTTTCCTTTTTGATAAATTCTATAGTTAGGGTCGGTTTGTTATGCTGCCATAGGCTTAGACTACTGGAAGATAAAATGGC